ATAGCTGGTTGATCCCGTTTTTAGTAAGGCCCTTTTTTAGATGTAAAACAGTAAGAGGTTGCGAGGCTGTAGTGTGATGTATGATGTGGAGAATGCTGATCAGAGTGGGGGGGTGTGTGGATCCTGTACTAAGACTTTATGGTCCCTTCCTGGTCTCGATAAGTCTATTAAAATGACTTTGGTGATGCTCCGGAAGCCTCCCAAGATTTCCACTTAACCTGCCATGTGAATCATGGATATTTGTGGATTCTCTGTGCGCCTAGGAATCCAAGCTACTTAAAATTCCTTAACGCACACTGCGTGCCCCTTACATTTCAGATTGTGCCTGGTGACCCCTTGGACAAGAGCATTGTGATCCGACCTCTGGAGCCCCAGCCAGCTCCACATCTGGCCAGAGAATTTATGATCAAAACCAGGCGCAGGAAGGTAAGTCTTATGGTTAGGGTTTGCCTCCACTGGCCTCTGCAGCTCTTGCCCTGCAATGAAGCATAAAAACACACACACACCTCCTCTTGCTTCCAGTCTAATGCTTTGACATCCTATTCTCCCCCAGGGGCTAAGTGAGGACGTGAGCATCAGCAAGTTCTTCGACGATCCTATGTTGCTGGAGCTGGCCAAACAGGACGTGGTGCTGAACTACCCCATGTGATCAGGCTGCCCCCACAGCATTTTCCCAGGCAAGACTCCAGTATCCTCCTCCTTGCCATGTTAACTTCCTGTGTGTAAGACATTGCTGTGTGTCTTTCAGTGCTGCAGTCCTGCTGCCAAAGCAGCTGTTTGCCACAGAAGTTTTGCATTGTCAAGGCAGGCTCCCTGCCGTGTTGTGAACAAACTCCACTGATCCTTTTGCCTTCTCTTGGCCAGGCTTCAGATTTGCCAAGTATGTCTTGTATATCCCCAAAAGCCTGCCTCTGTGAGGAGAACTCGGTCTCTTGGGAGATTTGATCCTTGAGTCCTCTTAGCTTCCCACAGTGATCCTCTTTTCCCTAATAAAAGCAGCTTTTTTATTTTTGTTTCCAAAACATTTCTGCACGCTGTGCTCATCCATCCTCCTCCCAAGCAGCACTGGCAGAGCTGATCAAATATTTTGGGGGATTGTAGCCTTTCCCAGTCAGACTGAATTGTGACTTCATGCTCTGCCCCCTGATGGAGAGGTGATTCCTTGCCAACCAGTTCCTGTTTGGATGGCGAAAAGGGGCAAGAACCCCCCCCCCCAACACTTGGCTATTTAAAGTTCTCTGCAAGTGAACATGTGCTGCCATCCCTGTACAAGCCTCGGCAGAGGCCCCCTCAGCCTCCTTTCGGTGAAGCTGCCAGCATTCTGAAGTTTGATTTTGTCCATTTGATTGGGTGTTTGGCATGGAGGGGGGCCAGGAGTGTACAGAGAATAAATATTTTTTACTTAATTGTAATAGGTGACGATAAAAGCATTCTGGTCTAGTTCTTGGTTCTGCTCTGTGCCTGTTGGTGTGAGTGAATGAGTGAGATCTACTGCGCATGGGTTGCCTGCTCTCTCTCCTCTTCCTGCCCCTGCCAAGCTTCCTTGGAAATCCTACATGTCCACTTCAAAGTGTTTTGACCCAGTTCTTGAGTTTTGTTAGCAATCTCTTCCAAATTAGAAGGATTTTGCAGAGGCCTTCTGCTGAGTCAGCCTTCCTAGCCCAGTACATGCAGGTCTCACTATCCCAGTGGTGTCCAAACTTTTTTCAAAGAGGGACAGATTTGATGAAGTGAAGGACCCTGAGGGCCGACCAAAGTTGTTATCCTTTTTTGAAGTTGTTGAGCTTTTTGTATGATTTTACCCCAAGAAATGGGACGTGGGAGGCGCTGTGGGTTAAACCACAGAGCCTAGGACTGGCTGATCAGAAGGTCGCGGTTCGAATCCCCGCAACAGGGTGAGCTCCCTTTGCTCGGTCCCTGCTCCTGCCAACCTAGCAGTTTGAAAGCACGTCAAAGTGCAAGTAGATAAATAGGTACCGCTCCGGCAAGAAGGTAAACGGCATTTCCGTGCGCTGCTCTGGTTCGCCAGAAGCGGCTCAGTCATGCTTGCCACATGACCCGGAAGCTGTATGCCGGCTCCCTCGGCCAATAAAGCAAGATGAGCGCCGCAACCCCAGAGTCTGCCACGACTGGACCTAATGGTCAGGGGTCCCTTTACCTTTACTATGCCCCAAGGCCACAAAATAGAATTGGGAATAAATTTAGAGGAATAACATGATTGCTAACTCCTTCATTGCTTGTCTGTAGATGTGAGAGAACTAGAAGTATCAACAGAAGGGAATTTCACAGGGAGACAGAGAAACAGAGAACAAACAAGCTATGCTCACTCCCTCGGCCAATAAAGTGAAATGAGCGCCGCAGCCCCAGAGTCGGCCACAACTGGACATAATGGTCGGGGGTCCCTTTACCTTTACCCCACAAATAAACTGCCCCAGGGGCCGGATTGAATTGACCGGCAGGCCAGATTAGGCCCCCAAAATGGGCTTTGGACATGCCTGCAGTCTCCAAACAAAAATTATACAAAAATTCACTTATCCAAACAATGAGGAATTAGTATCCAAGCCTCATTATACAAACCACAGATTCAGTGGTACTGGACCTGCACATAGTAATGTAAACAAATAAGCAGCCTTAAACAAGTTTATTTTATTGTGTTTTGCTTGTTTGTTACCAGACACCATGGTGAGCAGGAAGGATCAGAAAAATAAGAGAGGATTTTTCCTACCTTGTTTGCCTTTTGCAAGGTTTCAGATGAGATTTTTCATCATTTTGGGGGTCAAAATTCCGTGGCTGGGAACACATTGGAAAAATTTCCCATAGGAATCCATGGAAATTGTTGGCTCATTATGCAAATGCTCACTTGGCAAATGATTTCCTGAGAACGTGTCGCGTTCAGATGGCGAGACTTGCGTATACTGTCTGCTCTGAATTACAGCAGCTCCCCAGGCCCTGCTTTTAACTCTGAAGTTAGGGGTGAGCCTTGAGATGACACCGGCAAATTGTTCAGGGTGGCAGGAACAAAAAAGGATGGTTGCCGTGAGCTCCAAAAGGGTCTCTTCAAACTGAGTGAATGGGAAGTGAAATGGCAAATGCAATTCAATGTAAGCAAATGTAAAGTCATGCACATTCAGGAAGAAACCCTAACTTCACATACGGGATCTGGGCTGATCATGGACTATCCAAGAGAAAAATCTTCCTTTGTGTAATGGGTCGCTCGATGGAAATGACCCAAGTGTGGAGCTGCTGTGAGAGATCTGAATTCCGTGTTACAGATAGCGAGGAAAGGGATTGGAAATAAAACTGCAAAATATCATAATGCTATGATACAAACCACACTTGAAAGTTCTGGTTACTATACCTCTAATTGGATATTGTAAAAGTGATAAAGGCTCATAAAAGGACAAGCGGTTGGAGGTTGGATGGCGGCTAACAGATTGAGGTTGAATCCTGACAAGACAGAAGTACTGTTTTTGGGGGACAGGAGGCGGGCAGGTGCGGAGGACTCCATGGTCCTGAATGGGGTAACTGTGCCCCGAAAGACCAGGTGCGCAGCCTGGGAGTCATTTTGGACTCACAGCTGTCCATGGAGGCACAGGTCAAATCTGTGTCCAGGGCAGCTGTTTACCAGCTCCATCTGGTACGCAGGCTGAGACCCTATCTGCCTGCGGACTGCCTCGCCAGAGTGGTGCATGCTCTGGTTATCTCCCACTTGGATTACTGCAATGCGCTCTACGTGGGGCTACCTTTGAAGGTGACCCGGAAACTACAACTAATCCAGAATGTGGCTGCTAGACTGGTGACTGGGAGCGGCCGCAGAGACCACATAACACCGGTCTTGAAAGACCTACATTGGCTCCCAGTACATTTCCAGGCAGAATTCAAAGTGTTGGTGCTGACCTTTAAAGCCCTAAACGGCATTGGTCCAGTATATCTGAAGGAGCGTCTCCACCCCCATCGTTCTACCCAGACACTGAGGTCCAGCACCGAGGGCCTTCTGGCGGTTCCCTCACTGCGAGAAGCCAAGTTACAGGGAACCAGGCAGAGGGCCTTCTCGGTAGTGGCGCCTTCTCTGTGGAACACCCTCCCACCAGATGTCAAAGAGAACAACAACTACCAGGCTTTCAGAAGACATCTGAAGGCAGCCCTCTTTAGGGAAGCTTTTAATGTTTGATGTATTATAGTATTTTAATATTCTTTTGGAAGCCGCCCAGAGTGGCTGGGGTATAAATAATAAATTATTATTATTATTATTATTATTATTATTATTATTATTATTAACCACAATAAGGGGGTTGGAACAGCAGCTCCCCTATGAGAAATAATAATGTTTATTTATTTATATGCCACCAATCTGACTAGGTTGCTTCCAGCAAATTATAAAACCACAGCAAAACATCACACATTAAGAACTGCCTTCAGGTGCCTTCTAAAAATCAGGCAGTTGTTTATTTCATTGACATCTGGTGGGAGGGCGTTCCGCAGGGCGGGCGCCACTACCGAGAAGGCCCCTCTGCCTGGTTCCCTGTATGTAACCTTGCTTCTCACAGTGAGGGAACCGCCAGAAGACCCTCGGAGCTGGACTTCAGTGCCTGGGCTGAAGGGTAGGGGTGGAGACGCTCCTTCGGGTAAAATATTACACCATTTGGCACTTAAAAGTTTAGAAGGAAAGGCAAGTATAGCAGGAAACGGATGTATAAAAATCGATACAAAAGTGGGCGGGGAGCAGATATTCCTCCCTCTTCAAATACTTCAATACTCCCTCTCCCTGCCCCATGCAATTCTTTGCATTTCTACCGCACAGCAAAAAAAGTCTACTTCTGTTTCTGTGGCATTTCACTAGTTGGGTGTGGATTTATATTCCTCCATGTCTCAGCTGTATAAAAGCACTTAGCCAGCCCTGTCATCTTCTATTAATTTTCCCTACTCTTGGAATATCACATTTCCAGAAGGTCTGCTGAAAATATTTGTCTTGTCTACAAATGTACACATGCAGAAATATATCAATGTTCAAAGAAACGTTTATTCGAATGAATAATGCCATTGTAAGCCATCTTACCAAATATGTGCATTTTAATGCCTTTTCAAGCAAGGTAATTTTTAAATTGCATTTAAAATAGTGACATTAGATGTTAATATTGCTCTTAATACATATACAGGACAGAGCTGCTATAAAATGTGCTTAGGTGCAGAGGTAATCTAAAAAAAAAAAAAAGGAAATTATACAGCAGAGACTTCACAAGAGCAGCTCAGTTTGCATTAAAATAGGGATTATTTTTGCAGCCAGAGTCAAGCGAATCTTCACTTGTCAGTGTGAATTTCCTTTTTATGCACACCCGTGCTGGAGTCGCATGCTTTATTACGAATTAGATTTTGTGCCATTTGGAGAGGGTTTGTTTTTCCTGTTTAGAAACTGCAGGGTAGGGACTTCAGTGCGATGAAAGAAGGCAATTGTCACACTTAGAATGCGAGAAGGGGGACATGGCTTCAGGAGAAGCAGGCTAGGCAACTATTATCCTCTCCTTGGGCGAAGGGAGGCGTTAGCTACTCAATAATCCCTCGGGGGTCTTTTGCAGTCCTCTGTTTCCACAAGGATTCCCTTTCACTTCTCAAAACTTTAAAAATATATACATGTACATCGGGATTTTAGGGGAACATATATAAGCCGTATCAGTAAGCAGTTGAGGCTGCAGGGGACTTCTTTCTCTTGCTAGAGCCAACCACATGATCTCGCAGCCCTGCTGGAGTCGCCGCCGGGGTATTCAGATCCATTCAGGGAGAAGGGACAAACCAATGCCATCCATGTCTCATCTATTTTTGTTTGGGGAAGTGGTCTTTGTACATGCTGTAGACAGCGCCTAGGAGAGAGAGCAAAGGAGTTGGCGCAAAGGAGACAATAGGAATACGGCCTGTAGAGAAAACAGCTTTTTGTCTCCAACATGGAAGTTGGCTTAGTGCTGCTTTTGCTAGTCAGGAGGGGCAAGGAATTATGCAAAGCAACAAATGGCCACCCCTTTCTACCCTCGCAAGCCTTGCAGGGCGATTGGCCGGCTCCCTTATTCCCTCCTGCCATTTCTGACTCCTTTTCAAACTCAGCTTTCCAGCTCTAATGGCTAGAGAAACGTTTTCTAAATGCTGAAAGTCTCAGCATTCTTTATCCGTGCAGTCTTGGGCCCGATTGCAGAATTGTCTTAACAAAATGTTCTTGGTCAGAATCGAACCTGGCTTCTGCTCCTCTGGCTTTCAAGGAAAACAGCAAATCTTTTCTACAAGTTATTTTCTGTTTCGTGGGCGGCCTGCTGCAGTATCTCCTTACTCTCTGCTGTTTTATAATACTTTTTTTTTAAAAAAATTAAAACACATTTATTCAAAAGTTCCGATATAGCTTTTTTCCTACTGCCATAATATCACAGAATGACACTCCATTCCTCAGTTCCTCATCACTGTCTTGTTGGCTCGCCAGATACCCTCAATAGGAACCAATCTGATTTACTAGACATTTTCAATTCAGGCTTGTTGGGCTTTCATGGTACAGGAAGTGCTGCTTCCAAACCTAGATGAGTGGAGCTTAATTAATCTTGACCGCTGAGGGGACAGTACACTGAATGTCCTTGGAGGGGCACTTTCCCCACAGAGGCAAAGAACTGCACCCTCTCCCAAGACCAGTGTAGAAGATGAAGCTTAGTTTGCATGTTCAGCAAACTGACTTGGATGCTCTGTCTGTGGCAGGGAGTCACATTAGGCCATTTGCACACTGAGGGATGATGTTTATGTGAACCAAAGGGTTAAAGGCCCTGGGATAATCATTCCAGAAGACCTGGTACGCATGCAAGACCTTGCCCTCTGGCAGTCATTGCAGTTACAAACTCAGGTCCTCTCCTGCTCCCACACCCAGTGCTTAACGCCTCCCTTCTCCGTCCCCGCCTTACCAAGTGTTATGGCTCCAACCACACAGGCCTGGGCAGCTACCCGAGTGTGAATCAGGTGGACAGACATCTTCATACTCCCCCTTGCCTTCAGCCGGTAAATTCCGTAGGCTGCCACAACCACAAACCCCATCATGCCTGCAAGGTCAAAGAAGCCATAGAACCATAGCTCTGAAGAAGTCCCTGTGCAAGTCCAGTAGCCTGTCCCACCTCCTTCGGGTAAGGCACTTTCTGTACTGCCTATACCTAAAGACCTATACCTTCCAACCTAGCAGTTCGAAAGCACGTCAAAGTGCAAGTAGATAAAGAGGTACCACTCAGGCGGGAAGGTAAACGGCGTTTCTGTGCGCTCCTCTGGTTTGCCAGAAGCGGCTTAGTCATGCTGGCCACATGACCCGGAAGCTGTACACCGGCTCCCTCGGCCAATAAAGCGAGATGAGTGTCACAACACCAGAGTCGGCCATGACTGGACCTAATGGTCAGGGGTCCCTTTACCTTTATACTGCCTATACTAACACTGATCCTCAGCCTCCTTTTCCTTATGGGGTATCTTTGGGAGAAGAAAAGGCTAAGGAGTAGATAAGGTAAAAGTAAAGGACCTCTGGATGGTTAAGTCCATCGCTTTCAGGCCAAGGGAGCCGGCGTTTGTCCACAGACAGTTTTCCAGCTCATGTGGCCAGCATGACTAAACTGCTACTGGCACACGGAGGACCGTGACGAGTGCCGGAGTGCACAGAAACGCCGTTTACCTTCCCACCACAGTGGTACCTATTTATCTACTTGCACTGGTGTGCTTTCGAACTGCCAGGTTGGCAGGAGCTGGGATAGAGCTCACCCCGTCACAGGGATTTGAACCGCTGACCTTCCGATCAGCAAGCCCAAGAGGCTCAGTAGTTTAGACCACAGCGCCAGCCACTGTACTGCCTATACTAACTCTGATCCTCAACCTCCTTTTCCTTACGTGGTATCTTTGGGAAAAGAAAAGGCTAAGGAGTAAACCCTACACAAATTTGGAGCGGAGTCCCAATGGTGCCTTGCATGCCTCTTTCTAGCAACTCCTGCAGCCAAGCTGGTGCCAAACGTATTGCTCTGCTTTCCTTTGGACCACATCAGTGAGGTCTTGTTGTCTGGGCGGTCCAGGACCTCCATACACCCTACCCAGGTTTGGGCTCTAGGGAGGTCACTTTAGTGCTGCTAATGCAGCAGTTTGACTTCTTCCCTAGAGGCACATTCCATTGTCTCTCGAGACAGACAAATGCCAGCATATACTGCCAGTAGACAGGACTGATACTTGTCCAATCTCCAAGGAAGAAAGCATCTGACTCTCTCTTAAGCAGCCTATTGCAATACTAGGCATATTCCGCACTTAGGAGACTCACCCAAATAATTTCTTTATTGCCCATGTGTTGAATGGTTGCATATAATGCCATCAAGAAATGAGCTTGAATCTAATGCCCAATGTAGTTTTAGATGTCTGGCTATTCATATCTTTGCATGGATTGCTTCTCCCTTTGCTGGGAGCGCTGTAAACAATGAAAATATTTGCAGGCTGTTTATCCATGATTTTTGGTGAAGATAGAACTGTGTGTCCAGCTCTTCCCCCCCCTTTTTTCCCTTTTTTGTGGCATTCAGTTTCAGAGAAAAAAGTTTTTTTGGGGGTTGGGGTCAAGGCTGTTTGCCAGAGACAGCAAAGGGCAACAGCAAATATGCTTTGAAAGCAACTGAAAGAATGCAGTGGCAAAGGATGTACTTTGTAATAATAATAATAATAATAATAATAATAATATGATACTAAATTATTATTTATACCCTGCCCATCTGGCTGGGTTTCCCTAGCCATTCTGGGCAGCTTCCAACAGAATATTAAAATACAATAGTCTATTAAACATTAAAAGCTTCCCTTAAGAGGGCTGCCTTCAGATGTCTTCTAAAAGTCTGGTAGTTGTTTTTCTCTTTGACACCTGTTGGGAGGGCGTTCCACAGGGCAGGTGCCACTACTGAGAAGGCCCTCTGCCTGGTTCCCTGTAACTTGGCTTCTCGCAGCGAGGGAACCTCCAGAAGGCCCTCAGCGCTGGACTTCAGTGTCTGGACAGAACGATGGGGGTGGAGACGCTCCTTCAGACGCTTTGTAGGCAGAAGGTCTTGGGATTCAGCTCAGGCAGCTAAAGGCTTCCAGTCTTGGAAGATCAGTAGGCAGGAGCAAAACGAGGCTTTATTTCACCTGGGTCAAACACCCAGTTTGGCACACACGCACCCCACGTGCATTTGCGCACGCACTCAGGCTGGGAACCTCAATGGCACCCCTCCTGAGGCTTCACCTGGGCAAAAAAACCTAGCTGTCTCCCCCATAGCTACAGCACTGTCAGTAGGCAATGTTGGGTTAGATCAGGGCTGAGGAACATCTGGCTCCCCAGATGCCAGCTTGCCTCAGCCACCATAGCCAATGATCAGGACTTATGGGAGCTGTTGTGCAAGCACAGGGAGGGCCACAGATCTCCCACCACCAGGCTGAATAGACCAACAGTTTGTAAAAAGCAATCTCATATGTTCAAAAGGCCACATTTCCTACACGGCACACCTGTAGTCCCATTAAAAGACCCCGTTTGGATCAGGCCAGAATTCCAGACCCTTCAAGTGTCCCTATTTTCTTGGATTTACAGAAGCAATCCCAGTTTCTGATTTGATCCCGGAATGTCCTGCTTTTCCTTAGGACGTCCCTGTTTTCATCAGAGTAATGGGTTATGGGGTTATGTGACCCCCACCCCCAAGCCAAGGAGATAAGTAAACAGCCTCAGCCCAGTATACCTGAAGGAGCGTCTCCACCCCCATCGTTCAGCCCGGACACTGAGGTCCAGCTCTGAGGGTCTTTCGACGGTTCCCTCTCTGTGAGAAGTGAGGTTATAGGGAACCAGGCAGACTGTCTGACTTTTAGGAGACATCTGAAGGCAGCCCTGTTTAGGGAAGATTTTAATGTTTGAGATTTTATCGTGTTTTAAATATTTTGTTGGGAGCCGCAGAGTGACTGGGGAAACCCAGCCAGATGGGCAGGGTATTAATAATAATAATAATAATAATAATAATAATAATAATAATAATAATAATTTATTATTATTAGCTATACCTTTAGAAGACATCTGAAGGCAGCCCTGTATAGAGAGGTTTTTTAATGTTTAATGTTTTATTGTTTTTGTATATATTTCATATATATTGGAAGCCACCTAGAATGGCTGGGGCAATCTGGTTAGATGGGTGGGGTATTATTACTATTATTATTTATTGAATAGGTAAAGGTAAAGGGACCCCTGACCATTAGGTCCAGTCGTGACTGACTCTGGGGTTGCGGCGCTCATCTCGCTTTATTGGCCGAGGGAGCCGGCATACAGCTTCCGGGTCATGTGGCCAGCATGACTAAGCCGCTTCTGGCAAACCAGAGCAGCGCACGGAAACGCCGTTTACCTACCCGCTGGAGCAGTAACTATTTATCTACTTGCACTTTGACATGCTTTCGAACTGCTAGGTTGGCAGGAGCAGGGACCAAGCTCACCCCGTCGCTGGGATTCGAATCACCGACCTTCTGATTGGCAAGTCCTAGGCTCTGTGGTTTAACTCACAGCACCACCCGCGTCCCTATTTATTGAATAGGAGGTACCTATTTTCATCAAAGAAATGTTGGAAGGTGTGGAATCCCATCTAGTCCAACTTCCTGTTTCACAGTGGCCAACCAGATGTCCCTGAGAAGACCAGAAGCAAGACCCGATTGCAACAGCAACAGTCTCTGCTTGTGATTCCCAGCAACTGGCAGAATATAGCCATCATGGCTGGTAGTTTTACCCTTAAAAGAATAATTTGTATATTACTCTTTTAAAGTTTCCCACTCCCACCCCACCCCTCTTTGATGCCTTACATAGATTTGAGTCGTAGACGTGAGTCTTCAGACCACATTTGGTTCCCTGCCTTGGTTCTTCCCCCTCTGCAATTGAGCTAAGAGAAGATCATGCACAGATTCCTACAGAGAGGCACTTCTGGCTCCCCAAACTTACCAGCTGGCACCAAAGGGCTGTTCCGTGCCTTTTGAAAGAGTTTGGCACTAACCGTGGTTTCATGCTCTGGAATCCAGCTGTCCTTGTCAGTTGACATTGAGCGCTGTAGAAATCAATTTCAAAGATACAGAACCAAAGAGAAAAATTACTACCTAATCTTCATCAAATTTCACTGTAGAGATCCTTGCGTCATCGTCATTTCATTCGTAGGCCACCTTTCCACAGTTAAAAGCATAGTTAAGGTGTACATAACATAACAAAAGTAGTCCTAAACAATGAATAAAGCGGATAAAAAACTTCCCAAGCAAACTTAAAAATTTCCACATACGTCAAAATAAGATTTAAAAATGAAGATACAAAAATTGATATCAATAACGGCAACAAAATACCCAAACCAAACCCATTAAGGTACTTCCATAACAGGCAGGAAACTGATGTTTGGTCCAAATGAAGTATACACCCCCCCATAGGAGCCAACTTCTAGGGGCTGAGGGATCTTCAGCCCCCCAATAAAATATTTGAGGGAGCTGGGGCCCCAAAAACTGATGGGCATTGCCATTCAAATGGTGTATGTGCACTGCATCGTGTGATCGATTATGTGGGGTGGGGGCTTACCTGAAACCCCCCCTGCAATATTTTCAAGTTTGCACCCCTGCAACCCCCCGATTGTTATAAAGAACTCAACGTTTGTATAAGCATCTCTTGGAACAAGCCACATGAAGTCTGCTTAATGTCTGCTAGGACTCGAAAATAATCTGGCATGGATGAGTTGGAAAATTGAAACAGACTAAGACTGGGAAAAGTGTGGGAGCTTCCACTGGCAGCCAATAACATCTCTTAAGTTGGAATATTGAAAAGCTGTCAACAGATCCTCAAGCTGAGGCTCCAATACTTGGCCCACCTCATGAGAAGAGAAGACTCCCTGGAAAAGACCCTGATGTTGGGAAAGATTGAGGGCACTAGGAGAAGGAGACGACAGAGGACGAGATGGTTGGACAGTGTTCTCAAAGATACTAACATGAGTTTGACCAAACTGCGGGAGGCAGTGGAAGACAGGAGTGCCTGGCGTGCTCTGGTCCATGGGGTCACAAAGAGTTGGACACGACTAAATGACTAAACGACTAAACAACAGCAAAAGAACTACCCAAAAGATAGGTAAGCTCCAATATAGGACAGCACACACACCGGTGTTTCCAGATCTTATCCAATTGTGTCCTCGTGTCAAGGGCTCCAGTTAGGCGACCCGTCGTGCATTACCATAAAGAGAGAGCGGTGCTGCCAGAACTGAGGAAGCATGCCATCTAAAGAAGAGGGCACCATTTTGCATGTGCTAATCAGATAGATAGATAGATAGATAGATAGATGCCAATTTAGAAATAATTGTTGTTGTTGTTTAGTCGTTTAGTCATGTCCGACTCTTCGTGATCCCATGGACCAGAGCACGCCAGGCACTCCTGTCTTCCACTGCCTCCTGCAGTTTGGTCAAACTCATGTTAGTATCTTTGAGAACACTGTCCCACCATCTTGTTCTCTGTCGTCCCCTTCTCCTTGTGCCCTCCATCTTTCCCAACATCAGGGTCTTTTCCAGGGAGTCTTCTCTTCTCATGAGGTGGCCAAAGTATTGGAGCCTCAGCTTCACGATCTGTCCTTCCAGTGAGCACTCAGGGCTGATTTCCTTCAGAATGGAGAGGTTTGATCTTCTTGCAGTCCATGGGACTCTCAAGAGTCTCCTCCAGCACCAGAATTCAAAAGCATCAATTCTTCGGCGATCAGCCTTCTTTATGGTCCACCTCTCACTTCCATTAGAAATAATTACCATGATTTAAATATAAATAGAATCCCACTCACCTCGATGTAGAAGACTGCTGGATGGTCTGATGTGCAGGTGTGAACAGCTGATGGGCAAATTCAGAACCCCAGCTTGTCCTAGGTTTTAAAATAAAATAGAAAAAAAAATCTTTAAAGTGGATACAGACTGGGCAGCTCTTCAAAGGCCAGGACTATGAAGTTGGGCACATAGCCAACCTAGCTCCCCTGGAGATTCACCTGCTTCCTTAAAGTCACCAGCCTGTTTGATGGGTTGCTGCCTTGTCGGCTGCTACAGAGAGATCTCCCCGAAGTCTTTTGGAAATATGGTTGTTTTGACAAGGGCTGCTTGGGTCTCTTCCCATCCTCTCACTTTAAGGTTACAACAAAGTCCCCACACTAGCTGTTTCCTTGATGTTTAAGTAAGGAGATGGGGAGATGTCTGACAGTTTGCTATCTGCTTGCTTGCTCCTTAACCCTTGCTCTGCTCATTGTCCTCCACAGCAAAGCTCAGTTGGTTAGTGTGTAGGGCTGATAACATCAAGGTTCGATCCCATAAGGGACAGCTGCATATTCCTGCACTGCAAGGGGTTGAGCTAGGTCAGCAGTTCTCAACCTGTGGGTCCCCAGATGTTGTTGGACTACAACTCCCATCATCCCTGAGCTCTGGCCTTGCTAGCTAGGGGTGATGGGAGTTGTAGTTCAACATCTGGGGACCCACAGGTGGGGAAAGGTTGGGCTGGATGATCCTCAGAGTCCCTTCCAACTCTATGATTCTATGAAACACCATTTCTTCTCTAAATTAAAAGTGTAAAGCATTCCAGCCAATAGAGAGAGAAAACATATTGTTTCACTTGATCCAGAGCACAGCTAAAGCTATTTGCAATGCGGGAAATATGAAATTATAATCTGCTCATCACTCTGATATGATAAACCAGCCTCTTACATCCAAGATCAGGGAGAGTTCCAGGTTTGGGGAAGGATATGGAGTCAGTCAGTGTGATATCCAGACAGGCATAGAGCCCCAAATGTTTAATTTTAGAAGTTCAATGACAAACTCACAAAAAGGCAAGCAAGAAATAGCAACAACCTTATCTTCCACCCTGTATTCAATATATTCTGTACGTAAGCTAGAGGAGGGACTTGCTGAAAGCAGATCCACATACCTTTTCTGGAAATATTACTTTGGAAAACACTCCGTAATTGCACATGGCTCAGATGAACATGCTCTGACCCACCCAGAAGCTGCTGCAGCTTTTAATGAGTGAATGCAGGGAAATAGTTAATGCAGAGTTTGTTGCAACATGCACACAAGCCACCCTCCATTCATCTTCCCAATCCAATTTATAAAAATAAATGTGGAAAGATTAAGTAAAGATAACATATATTTATTATAGAAAAAGTCTCACACTGTGTTGTCCACTGTTGCTGGCTTGCTTGCTTGCTTGCTGTCTCTCTGGCAAGAACACAAAACAAATATTACAGAAAACAAAGAATTCCTCAAAGTAGAAAACAATCCCTGCTGCTTCTCTGGTTACCAGAACATGCTGTTAAGTTATGAGGAGATCTTGCCTTCAAGGAAACAGTTCTGAGCATGCTCAAGGTGCTGGGCTGCTCTTGCCAAGGCTTTCAAGCTATGCTCCCTAATCTGAGATGTTGGCTGCTGGATAGCCCTCAAAAGAAACAGGGAGCCTTCCCAGCAGGGGCTGAAAATCTGAGAGACTTCCTAATATTCAATAATCCAAATATCCTAATGTCAGTCGCATGGTTTTTCTGCCCAAATAACACATAGGTAAAGGTAAAGGGACCCCTGACCATTAGGTCCAGTCGTGGCTGAATCGGGGGTTGCGGTGCTCATCTCGTTTTATTGGCCGAGGGAGCCGGCGTACAGCTTCCAGGTTATGTAGCCAGCATGACTAAGCCGCTTCTGGCGAACCAGAGCAGCGCACGGAAACACCGCTTACCTTCCCGCCGGAGCGGTACCTATTTATCTACTTGCACTTTGACGTTCTTTCGAACTGCTAGGTTGGCAGGAGCAGGGACCGAGCAACGGGAGCTCACCCCGTCGCGGGGATTCGAACCGCCAATCTTCTGATCGGCAAGTCCTAGGCTCTGTGGTTTAACCCACAGCGCCACCCGTGTCCCTAAATAACACATAGGAAGGGCCTATTTGCCATTGCTAAGGTTAGTTTTGTCTGAGTGATGCTGGTTGGAGCAAAGTGAACTATACAACCTTTAGAAGACGTCTGAAGGCAGCCCCTATATAGGAAAGTTTTTAAATATTTAATATTTTATTATGTTTTTATATGTGCTGGAAGCTGCCCAGGGTGGCCTGGCCAACTGAGTCAGGTGCAGAGTACAAACAATAAATAATAATAATAATAGGCCAGGAAATTAAATTAATGGGAGTGTAAAATATGCATGGGGCAGGAAAGAATGTGTAGCTTTGAGATTTGGGGGAGGAAATCCTTTTTAAAAAAATAGCTTGATAATTTTCATTATGAGCACTGTACCCTAGTGGAAGAGCCTCTACCGGTTGCAGTAACCAAGTATTGTTTTATGAAGGCGCGTTAGTTCAGTTCTGCTTAAATTGAGGCTGCAATAAACATCCCAATTTCTCAAAATCATAATGCAATTTATTAGTCAATAATAATAATAATAATAATTTATTATTTGTACCCCGCCCATCTGGCTGGGTTTCCCCAGCCACTCTGGGCGGCTTTCAACAAAGATGAAAGATACACTAAAATTTCACATATTAAAAACTTCCCTGAACAGGGCTGCCTTCAGATGTCTTCTGAATGTCAGGTAGATGCTTATCGCTTTGACATCTGATGGGAGGGCGTTCCACATGGCGGGCGCCACTACCGAGAAGGCCCTCTGCCTTGTTCCCTGTAACTTGGCCTCTCGCAGTGAGGGAACCGCCAGAAGGCCCTCGGAGCTGGACCTCAGTGTCCGGGCAGAACGATGGGGGAGGAGACGCTCCTTCAGATATACTGGACCGAGGCCGTTTAGGGCTTTAAAGGTCAGCACCAACACTTTGAAGTGTGCTCGGAAACGTACTGGGAGCCAATGTAGGTCTGTCAAGACCGGTGTTATATGGTCTCGGCGGCCGCTCCCAGTCACCAGTCTAGCTGCCGCATTCTTGATTAGTTGTAGTTTCCGGGTCACCTTCAAAGGTAGCCCCACGTAGAGCGCATTGCAGTAGTCCAAGCCAATAGTAAATATGAGCTAAAAAAATACTGATCTACATTTAACATAGTGTTAAGGTGAACATTCCAGTATTTCTCCTTGTGCAATGGAACGTATCCCACCCCCCTCCTCCCCACACGTAACCCCAAATCTGTTATGGACGTTCCCTTTATAGAGAAGGGAAAGGCTCATCTTGTACCTCCTTGTTGGGGGCCTGACTTTATTTTGAAAAGAAAGAAAGAACGAATTCCTATGTCCTATAAATAACCCAGAGATGCATTTTAAATAAAAGGACGCATTCTACTAAAATAGAAACTCGCTGATTCCCGGACAATCCTTGGGCCGGATTTGGAAGGCGATTGGGCCAGATCCGGCGCCCAGGCCTTAGTTTGCCTACCCATGCTCTTTAGCTTGCCAGTCAGAAGGTCGGCAGTTCGAATCCCCGCAATGGAGTGAACTCCTGTTGCTCTGTCCCAGCTCCTGCCAACCTAGCAGTTTGAAAGCACACCAGTACAAGTAGGTAAATAGGTATCGCTGCGGTGGGAAGGTAAACGGAGTTTCCGTGTGCTTTGGTTTCCGTCACAGTGCTCTGTTGCGCCAGTAGCGGTTTAGTCATGCTGGCCACATGAGCCGGAAAGCTGTCTGTGAACAAACGCTGGCTCCCTTGGCCTGAAAGTGAGAAGAGCACCGCAACCCCATAGTCGCCTTTGAGTGGACTTAACTGTCCAGGGGTCCTTTACCTTTACCTTAATTGCTGATATGATTTCTGTAGTTTATTGCTCTGTCTGGTGTCTTTTGAAACTTCCCTGAGTTTTGTTTATCGGCTGCTCTGACGCATTTCCATTACTCCTGGTGGTTCTTTCCCCGATTTGTTGTTTTGATCTCTGTTTATCCACCTGGAATGCTACCTTATAGAAATGTGGCATAAAAGCATTTTAAATAATGGCATGGCGTGACCGGAAGCGGATTCCTCAACCGAGCGCTGGCTCATTCATGCCCCTGCTTGTTTTCGAATTGCCGGTATAGCTTGTAGCATTCTGTGCATTGCAGATCACAGGTGCTTGCCAAAAGAGAATCTGGATGAAAGGGAACATTTCTGTGGAAAAAAATGTGACAGCTCGCTTATCTCCCTCTGCTTCTCTTTTCCTCTGCCCGCCTCCCTCTCCTTTATGGTCTCTGGGTTCCCACCAGATCAGCGCTGGGACACATTTCTCACACAGGATGTTTATAGCAAAGGCAGGCTCAGGGATCCAGCTGTTCACATCCAGTCCCCCATGCTTGACCAATGCAGTGGAAAATGCTGACCCGCTTTCAAATTCCAGGTCTGACGGATGGAGCCAGGATGCCAAAATATGGAAGAGAGACTTCAAAGATGCCGTGGGGGGGGGGAGTTTTTCAGAGAATCATTCAGAAAGCAGATCAGACCACCAGGAGTCAAGGAGAGCTGTTTTTCTCCCTGCTGAAACACACAGGAAGCTGCCCGGTCAGAGCCACTAGTCTCTGTCTAGCTCAGTATTGTCTACACGGACTGGTAGCATCTCTCCAGGGCTTCAGAAGAAGAAGAAGAAAAAGAATAGTGTGGATTTGATATGCCGCTTTATCACTACCCGAAGGAGTCTCAAAGCGGCTAACATTCTCCTTTCCCTTCCTCCCCCACAACAAACACTCTGTGAGGTGAGTGGGGCTGAGAGACTTCAGAGAAGTGTGACCAGCCCAAGGTCACCCAGCAGCTGCATGTGGAGGAGCGGGGACGCGAACCCGGTTCACCAGATTACTAGTCTACCGCTCTTAACCACTACACCACACTGGCTCTAAAACCAATGCCCTACCACCAAGCTACAACCCTTCCGCCAAGATTCACCCCAAGATACCGTGACTAGTTTTGAGTGAATGTTACAGCTCTCCTCTGATGTGCAGGAATACATTCCCATCAACAAAGCTGTGAATAACTTTGTAGGTCCAGTCGTACCTTGGATCCCGAATGCCTTGGTACTCAGATGTTTTGGCTCCCGAAAGCCGCAAACCTGGAAGTGAATGTTCCGGTTTGCGGACGTTCTTTGGAACTCCTCTCCACTGGAGGCGTGGTTACTCTCCTCTGCTGAGGAGGTGCTGCTTCCCATGATCTTTGGGGGCTCTCTGTAATCCATCCGGCTTTTCCCCTCTCGCCCCTGAGCCGATGGCAGTTCCCTGACACCCACCTTCCGCCAAGCATATCCTAGCCTTTTCTAGACTCCCCCCTTCAATGTATATTACTTAAAGTGGTAGTTATTTTAAACTGTACAGAAACTGAGTATCGTTACAGATCTCTGCAGCTTCCAAGATTTGTTCTCCTCCGCTTGAGCTTATAGCCATGTTTTTTTCTAAATCAGTTTTTGAACTGACAGATAATGCACTTGCTGAAATCGACGTGATGCTCTTCTCATGAGTCCCCCTAAGAACTGTACTTATTTTCCTCACATGATCTGGCAGCGCCTCCGTGCATTTCAAGTCAGACTGCAATCCGGAGACCAAAATAATATTGTTTATGAATTATCCTGCAAATGTAAGGACTCAACAAAGGGTCTGTTGAGCTTTGTAAAACTGCACGATGCGGTAACGTTAACTGGTCATTAAAATAGTTGATTAAAAAAAGAGTACAAAATAATTTGAGCTGTTCAATGACGGTTGCTTATTAAAAGAAAGAATTCATAAATTCAGACACATGACGAACTCTATCATCTGATATATATGGTATCTCATTTTAAAATTACATGGTAATGTGACATTGGAGCCATCACAGAGGCTCCTGAAGAACCATTTAGCCTGGAAGAAGCAGATACGGCTTTTTTCAAAAATGGTTTTGATTTTACTATAAAAATGTCATGTTATCAATGCTTACTGTAATAATTTTATGTCAACCGATCTGTTGAGGTCTACCTGAAAAGCACTACATGAATATTGTCATCAAGATAAAATAGACACCAGGATTCCCTTTGTAATGTACTTAAAAAGAGGAGATACGAATCACCAAGGATCATATTCAAAGATGCCATCCTTCTACGTTCTGTGCAGCTGATGGTGTGGTTTACTCTAGTGTGCTTTTTTTGTTGGCGTTGATTTGGTTAAAGAAAATAGATGTGGTTAAAAAAAAATTAAGAAGAATTTCTTAGATGCCTAGATCCAGGTTTGGAGCAAGTATTTTTTGGTAAGGGAACCCCAGCAGATAAGTCAAATCGCAAAACATGCAGTAAAATGTGGAATTATAGGATGTTAGACCTTTAAAATATCCCCTTCTAAGTTTCTCTCAAAGCTACCCACTTCCCTTAGCATAGAAAGAGACCAACACATTTGGTAAGTTAA